AACTAACCTCCCTTGCTGGTCTGTTCGCCTATAACTGCCCTCCCCTGCCGGCCATCTTATGGCGGCCATCTTGTGCGAGGGTGTGATGGTCAATTTGCATATTACCTCTTTATTATATAGGATATGTAAGCCTTGGTGCACTCATTGCCCCTGACGTCCACCTTGGTAGAGTCTGTGTATGCAGTGTCTACGGGCCCCAGACTGCCAGTTAGCTTTCTTTTATTTCTTAGTGGTATCCTCAGCCACAACAGTAGAAATGCCTGCCTACTTTGGCTCCTAATGAGGGCTCATGTGATCAATGAAACATGATGCTTAACCTCTTGTTCAATCACTTGATTTGTTATCACCTGGGATAAACTCATCATTGCTGAACTTGTCATTGCTGAACATGCCAAACTAAAGGGAATTTCCTTTTAGTTTTCTATCTGGGATGCTAAAAACCTGTCTGCCTGAGTGCCCAGAGTTCACTGAAAAATAATGATTTAGGGATTCCTTTGTGGCTATTGCCAGCTAGTTTCTAGGTCACGTGCCTCTACTAGGATATTACCAACATTCTTCAAAATACAAACAGAATAGAGACCATTACCGTCCGTTACATTATATAAAATGGCACTGGTTCCAGGCTCCAATATGCAGCTTTCCAGCGTCGGGCAGTGGATATGGAGGCAGTTGACATTGTCGTGCATGGGATCGTGGTAGAAGACAGCCAAGTTACAGGCAACTGGAAGGGAACAGGCAAAGTATCTCTGCAGTGGTCCTGACTTCTGCCCCTTTGATGAGCTCTGAGAACATATTTCTTTCAAGAACATCGGATTCACATGTGAACTATAATAACTGTCCTCTTAAAAGAAAACACCTACTGATTTCTTCTAAGTCATCTTTCATATATTCCCTCCCACATGGGATCACCTAGAATCATTTCCCAATCCCATGAAAAATTCAATTGGCTACAAAAACTTCTGAGGATATGGGTATATATTCAGATTTCTAGGCGCAGTAGCCCTCTCAGAATGCTAAAGTACTGGAGTTCACCAGAGAAAGAAGTGGGAAAATGAAGTGACAACTGAATCAGAAGAGGGAATAACAGGAAGGGCAAAAATCGCAATGACTACATTACTAGGAGGGGCCAGATGGTGGGAAGGCAGCTGGCCTTGACCCTGACTGCAGGTGTGCTCTGGCCCTATGGTGCAAAAGCACATCCAATGAACAGCACAATCAGTGTCCTTCGGGAGTAGAGAGAGAAGAATGTCAGCATTTGGATTTTAGCAATTTCCCTCATGTTCAGAAGTAAATTGATGCCATGAGAAAATGCTGAGAAGGTACCGCCTCTCCCTGCCCACCCCCCGCTCCCTCAGTGAAGGTGTCTGGAATTAGAAGCATCTCTTAGAAGTACATTATTTGCTCATCTTATCTCCCTTTTTCTAAGTAAGATTACTCCTTAAAATATATGGTGTTACTGCTGGAAAACCTAAAGTCATATTTATTTTTTGTTTTGTTTTTTAATATATTTTATTGATTTTTTACAGAGAGGAAGGGAGAGGGATAGAGAGTTAGAAACATTGATGAGAGAGAAACATCGATCAGCTGCCTCCTACACACCCTCTACTGGGGATGTGCCCGCAACCAAGGTAGATGCCCTTGACCGGAATAGAACCTGCGACTCTTCAGTCCGCAGGCTGACGCTCTATCCACTGAGCCAAACC